TACATCGCTAAAAGGGAATAAATAATACCTGGTAGAATTATTACCCGTTAGGATTATTATGAGGGCCAAATGGAACAATGTACGAAAGGTGCTTTCAAGCCACAATGTATGATATTAAAAGTAAGGAAGTGTAATAGTTCACTGTGGACGTTTGTATAGTTCTCCAAGGACACTGGAGAGAGAGAGAGTAGGTGAGGGAAGAAAGGCGGAGGCTGAATCTTCTCAGGAAGGCTTCATCGTCCTCTGCTGATAACGGTTTCCCAGAAATCTTGCTTCTCCACTGAGTATTTTCAGTGTTTACAGAAGCTCCAAAGTAAATCCTGCCACAGTGTGAAGTCTTTCCGCTGCTGGAATTGGCTCCCAGGATAGGTACATCCACTTCCATTTCATGACCCAGATTTTGCCTTAAAATTATGGAGAAATTAGACTCTTAGACTCATCTAGTTAGGAAAAAAATAAGACTAATTTACTTTTTCTGGTAGTTCAAATGATGAATGTTCATTGTAAACAATTTGTAAGATATAGAAAAAGAAAACTATCACCCATAATCTTATGACCCAGTAGTAACATTTTAGTATATTTGCTTGCTGGTCATCTGTTTTCATGCATATCTATTTGTCTCATGAGTAGCATAAGTGTGATGTGAAGAAATGACAGGTACGCATGGCTTGGCTGTGGCTAATGGCTAAGAAGAAGGTATTCAAAGCCCCGTTCTCTTCAGAAGCATTTAATGAGGGGGTGGGGTGAAGAGGGTGTGGCCTTTGGCCATACTTTTTCTACTTGTATTTCATTTCACTTTCTTTATGTCTAAAATGAAAATCATCACTGTCTCGGATGATAAGAAAGTTAACTGAATAACTTTTAAAAGCACAGTATCTAGTACATACCATGTGCCCAAAAAATGTAAGTTTCTGTTCTATTGGTAAGGAGGTACCATTTATTGCCAGGCACTATTCTAAGAGCTTTACATATATCAGTTCATTTAAGCTTCACACCTACCCTTTGATGCAGGTGCTGTTATCTAATTCTATGGAGAAGGAAACTGAGGTTCAGCAGCCTGCCCAAGGTCAAACACCTACTGGGGGATAGAGCCTGAATAGGAACCTGAGCAGGGTGGGTGAGTCCAGAATCCATATTGTCCACACGCGTCATACAGCCTGCCACTCATCCGAGCTGAGTTACGGTCAGGCTCTCAATGTTTGAGGAGAGTATCAGACCCCTCCAGTGGTGGAGTTATCATCCGTTTAACTACAAGCCCTTGCATGAAGGCGCTTGGTTTTCTTGTGCACTTGCCTTGGGCTAGCTGATACAGAGTTTAGTGGGTGGAGGGACTGAAGTCAAAAGTAAATCTGAAGCAGATTAAATATTTATTTGGTTAAAAGATTTGACTTTTTCCCTTACCCACCCTCTTCCCGTGTCCACTCAAGGCTGACATACAGGTCACTGGATAAGATCTGGGCATAGTTGAGCTCTGGTTTCAGCAGAAGCAGATGCCGAGTGCCAGCGGCGCCCCGTGCAGGTGGGCTCACCTGGGTAGTTTCAGGGGAACTCGGGGCGAAAGGCAGCAGCAGAGCAGCGGGGGGCACAAGTGGACATGGGTCTGAGACAGATGTACCACTGCGTGTGGCTGAAGCACTACGTACAGCCCTCCTCCAGTTACCAAGGGCCAGCCCGGGACCAGGCGAGAGACAGGAGAGGTTTTGTTGAGCCTGTGATGGAAAGCACCAGATAGGACGCAGGCCTGAGGGAATACAGAACAGCTTCCTAGATGGTCAATGATGATTTGAAAAGCAAAAAAGGAGAGTAATGAAGGGACAGTGACCCAGAGGTTAAGTCTAAATATATAGGTACCAAAAGGTCAGGAACAGAAACAAGGGTTTTTTAAAGAAAGGGCAATTATTGAGAATGTGAAACCCTTGATGAATGCTCAGCCACCAGAAAATGAAGAGCTGCTGGGTTAGCCTAAGAACGGAAATCTATACCCACCGGCATCAGTTCTGAAAACCTCCAGACACTCACGGAGCCGGGGGTCCAGGCTTCCCGCACTCTAGGAGACTGAGGGGACAGGTGCTGGGAGCTTATGGCGATGACACCAGAGACCTGCCAACAGGATGGGGAGATGACAGTGAGTCCGCTTCTTGCACGCTGGATGTGGAGCAGGATAAAAAGTAAAACAAACACGGGAAACCAAGAACACGACTTTTAAAAAGGCAGATTATGAAAACAAATACACATGTACACCCAGCATAACCCCAAAGGAATTTCTCCAAAAGGCTCTGAGGATAAACTTAGCCCACGTATATGCACTTCTGTCTTCTTAATCTCAAAAAGCATCTGGCTCCTTTGAAACAGAAGGTGGCAAAACTGTGCCAGCTGTTGGTCGATGGGTGTGGCCAAAGTCCCCCAACCCTGGTCTTCTGTACCCCATGAAAGTCAGCTGCTGATGAGATGGACCAACAGTTAAGACCTTCTTTCACAAAGCAATTGACTCACAAGCTATACAGAAAGCAACTAAAGAAAAAGGATTCCTACCTTCCCCAAAACATGAATGTATACAGTTTAATGCTTTTGACAGTTTAAAGGCATGGAGCTGCACTTTGGAGCATTACACAATTATTCCCTCTAAAGTCTCCTGTGATTTAGTCAATAAATCTGTATTGTGTGCCTACCATAAGCCACTCACTCTGCTGGATCCTGGGTGTATCGATGGTTAAAAAAAAAAAAAAAATTTTTTTAATCCTCACCTGAGGATATATTTCCATTTATCTTCAGATACAGTGGAGAGGGAGGGAGAGAGACAGACAGAGAAAGAAACATCAGTGTGAGAGAGACACATCAATTGGTTGCCTCCTGCATGACCTCAACCAGGGCCAGGGACCGAACTGCAAAACTAAGGTATGTGCCCTTGACCGGACTCAAACCCACAACTCTTTGGTCATTGGCCTGACGCTCTAACTGCTGAGCCAAATCAGCCAGGGCATAAAAAAACAAAGCCAGCATGGGCCTGGGCCTCACTGAGCTCACTGTCCAGTAGAGGAAGAAGACCATGGCCAGTGCACAATGACATGTAGCCGAAGTGCAGTGAGGGAAAATACCAGATGCCAGGAGACGGACTGTTTGCGATAGATGAGGCGGGCGGTCTCTGAGAAGATGTTTGACCTGGGACCAGAGGCTGAGGAGGAGCCAGCCAAGTGAAGAATTGGGAGGAAGACTCTTCCAGGCAGAGGGAACAGCATGTGTGAAACTGACGAACTTGGAGGGGTTGGAGAGCTCAGGGTGAAGTGAGAGAGCAATATTCACAGGAAGGTAGGCAGAAGCTAGGTCAGTCGAGGTGTCTAGGCCAAGTTGGAAAACTTGGATTTTATCCAAAGTGCAGGCAGCAGCTATGCTAGAACTTTATTAGAGAATGACATCATCCATTTACATTTTTTAAAGCTTATGCTGGCTCCTGGGTATATGCTGAATTGGAGGACAGGACGGGACGTGGCTACTTAGAAGCTGTTCCCTACTGGACAAAACACAACAGAAAGGAAAAGACCACTGATTCTAAAGCCAAGAACTTCCCTAAGGTGGTAACTGTCCATGCCAGGGAAGGACAATTCCTGGCCCCCTTTAATCCCTCCCTGAGGACAAAATAAAACTAAACTCAGTAGAAATCAGGAACTAAAGGAGCTGGGGAGACCACTTTAATAGTGCCAGAGCAGCTCTTGAAGTCTTTCACTCAGCTTCCGTGGTCTTCCCCAAGTTCCGTGGCATCCAAGAGAGCCCCCGGAACAGAATGATCTGGGGCTTTTTCTTCTTGTATTGGCTGAAACTCAGTTCAGAAAGCAGTTAACAGTGCTATTAAAATACCACATAGTAAAGCAGGAGATACGATTATTGGGGCCAGGGAGAAGAGAAAATATGAATGTACTCATATCACAGGAAATAGAAACATGTAGGTCATTGACGTTTTGTTTTGCTTCTCCACTATTTGCGGGTAGAAAGATGATACTGGAATTGTGGATCACAATACTTTATGAGCCCCTGCTAACCCCTCTCAGGTCAGCTTTGATTCCTATTTCATCCTTCATAGTTCATGATCTTGAGACTGGAGAACATCAAGAAACAATATAGAAACAGCCCCCAAAATGTCTCATTAGTTTTGTTAGCAAGTTATGAATTAAATTTATGAATTAAAAGGATGGAAGAAAGGGTACAGGTCTGTTGAACACACACCAGCATGTCATTTATTGGGCAGCTCTCTGTGCCGGGCACCAAGCTGGCCAGCTCGACTCTCTGAGCTTGTAGTAGAAGAGAGGGACCTACGGGGGGGGGGGGGGGGGGGGTCAGAAGAAGGTGTGAATTGCACTTTGAAATGCACATCTACAGCCAGGGTACCACTCTGCTAGCATGGAGGGGTCACCTCACCCTGACCTGTTCCTAGAGAAAACGATGGCCAAACTCAAACCTGCAGGACAAGTGTGGATAAGCCAGGAGAGAGTGGTACCTTTCAGAAATCTGGAAGTAGACCCATAAGGTAGAGGTTTATTTGTGTACTTTTCACTTTGAAGCTGTTTCATTCATTCCAGGGCTTCTACAATGTGTCTTTTGGTATCTTGAAGTAAAAGAAGGTAGCTTTGAGTACCCTTTAAGTAAAAATAAGCTCATTTGGTAACATGTTTAATTAATGGCTCAATCATCACCATTCTGTCCAAACCTGGGTTAGTAACTTCAAGGCTTGTAGAATTTATGACATAAACTGAAAAAAAAAAGTGTAAGACTACTAAACTGGAAAGAAGAGTGAATGGTTGTCAGTGATTTTCATCTCAAATGAGTATGATTCCGTGTGTGGTTTGAGCCAGGATATACAACCTCTCGGTGTCTCAATTTGTTCATCTGGAAAATGCGACTAGAAACATTAGTGCTTGTCTTCCAGAGAGGGTATGAGAATAAATCCTGGCATACGGGAAAACACACACACGCTTTCTTAGGAAAGACTGGACTAGCCTGCGCCCGTCATGGAGCACCGGCTCCTGGTGAGATCAAAGCCTGGCAGCTTGGTCGAGTGCAGTCTCATGAGGCAGGTAGCACGGTAACCTCAGGTGGGTAGGAAAAATGATCTTTTTGGAGACAGCCCAAGTTCAGTATACAGATACAATAACTGGCAAGGGGAGAGAAGGGCAAAGTGAGGTTGCAATTGGGGGTCTCTGGGACAGTAGCCTTCCACCACTGATCCCGGGTCTATTTTCCACCTGGACTCACTGTGGAATTTCTTTTCATCAGAACATCTGGATTTTAAAATGTTTATTTTCCAAATTATTCCAGAAAAAGTTTAAGGCAGAAAAAGAGCCCTCTAGCCTGTTTCTAGTTGGTGTGGTGCATGTAGACAATCCACTCGGGAGCCTCCAGAGCCAGCCCAAGGGCCGCGTATGACTCAGCCTGGGGACTGCAGTCAGCAGCCAGCATCGTGGGCTTCACGAACCCTCTGCTAACCTCAGCAGGTTCCTTGGAGGTGGCAGGTGACGGGGCAACATGTGACCTTGGAGAGCAGTGCCAGGGTGCTGGTGTCCCTTCCCGAGGGTTAATCATATGTTGAAAATCCTTAAACAGATGAGATGATTTCACGTTCCTCATGCTTCTATCCCTCTCCCATTCGCCTGCTGTTCCTGCCAGCCCTTCACTGTGGCTGTGCTGCCTGGACCTTTAGGTCCTTGGTGCAGCCCAGCAAGGGGGCGTGGGCAAGGGGAGGACAGGGCTCAGCCGTCCTGCACAGAGGACGGAGCCAACAGTTGTGGTCCAGGCCAAAAACGAGGAAGTTATTAAATGCGGCAAAGGTTTTGTGAACACTCAGGCCTGGTCTTTGCTGTCCTCCAGCAGACAGGAGGGTCTAGCGGTTCCCAGCCTGTGGGTCGCAACCCCTTTGGGGGTCGAACGACCCTTTCACAGGGGTCGCCTAAGAAATAACAGTAGCAAAGTTACAGTTAGGAAGAAGCAACAAAAATGATTTTATGGTTGGGGGTCACCACAACATGAGGAGCTGTATCGAAGGGTCGCGGCATCAGGAAGGTTGAGAACCACTGGAGGCTCGGAAAGGACAGCTTGCTGCCGGACGGATGATACCAACAGGAGGTCTTGGTGGGCTGTTATATTCGTGGGAGCTTGACATTCACGCATTTGGTGGGGAGATACCTCTGAATCTACTTTGCATCCCCGCTTAAGACAGATGCCATTGGGGTTGGTGCTTCTACGGGTTGTCTGAGGAATCCTATTGGAGACCGCTCGATGAAGTCTGCAAAAAGACTTTGACAATCTTCATTCTTCAGCTAAGGCTCTTCTACTCTTACTTCCAGCACAAATTAGGCCTTTTTAGGTGTGTCTGTTTTCTATAACATCTTAGCTGAAAGGAGCTCTAAAATGAAGGCACTGGAGTAAGACACGGCACAGGCCACATGTAGGCTGCATGGTAGAAGCTGATCGACATGGTCTGGAAACTCGCTAGCAGCCCTGCGAGGCAGGTGTGACAGCGGCTGATGTGCCGAGTGCTGAGTAAGCGCCAGGCTCTACTCCAAGTGCCATGGTCCCTGCATCAGTTTATGTTCCTCAGCAGCCCTGTGGCAGTGGTTATTCTGTTACACCCACTCAGAGATGAGACAACCGAGGTACAGAGAGGACAGAGCCACAGACCTGGCCAGTGGGTAGAGCCAGGACTACGACTCAGACAGATCAGCTGACTCTGGAGCTGGGCCGCTCACCGTAGTGCCCCTGCCTCTTGTCTCCATGGTACAGATGGAGTCTGAGGCTCAGGGTGTACCTGCCCAGGGTCATTTCATTCATAAGGAAAAGAACCTCAACCAAGTCTTCAGACTTCAAGTTTAGGTTTATGTTGAAAATATTCAAAGCCAGGAATCCTCAATTTGGTGAGAAAAGGGATGTACAGAAGGAGGTGACAGTGCTTAGGTATAATCCAGGTGAAGATGGAACTGGAGCTGGCAATGGAAACTCCTCGAAGACTCCGCGTCATCTCCCTCCACATCCTGAAATGACAGAATCAGTACCCCTCAGGGAGCCCAGCCCCTTCGGCCCAGGCCTGTGCAGAGGAGACAGCACGTGTTTGCACCTCTCAGATTCTTGCTTCCCTGAGACATGAGAGGCAAACCGGTCAGCCCTCGGAGGCGTTGCAAGCCCACCGCTGGTGCCCAACAAAGTGGAATGTGGCAAACCCACTTCCGGGCCCATTGCAGGGGCGGCCTGATCAAGAGGGGGCCTTAGGGTTGCAGTCAGGGCATCTGGAAATTCCACAGCCAAGACTCTCCTAAGGAGAAGAAATATGCCCGTTCCCATGGCAGAAGGCATTGGCCACATGGGGCTTAACATTTTTCTCTGACTCCCTGGGAGCATGGGGGAGACGGGTTACGGAGCCGGTGTTAGGGCCCGGGGTGGGGGCTGGATTTCGGTGGACACACAGGCTTGCCTGCGGTGCGGTGGAATCCCAACAATCTGAACCAGCTGGGCTCAGGATCCGGCCTGTGCTCTGAGCTGCCGCCCACTGGACAGACGGGCAGCTCCGCGGGCAGTCGCTCTACTGAGAAGTGAGGCAGCAGGGACTTGTTTCCAGGGAACGACCTCTCCTGACACTTTGCTTCAGTGAGTCCGGTTTTTCACTTCCCGACGGACGCTGAATTACAGGGGAGTTCACCTTCATAACAGTGACTCTTCCCTCCCGCTCGGTTGGGAAATCTAGAATTCTGAGATTGGAAGTGCACGTCCTGGCTTCACAGAAACACACGGGAAGGGATGGAGACCTCCGTGGCAGATGTGCCTGGCTGGGGCAGACAGCTTGCATGGGGCAGGCTTAGAACTCCGGTCTTTGCTGTGTTGCTTTGCTCTAACTCTGCGTTAATTTCCACACGTTAGGCTCCTTGTTAGGTTCATCTGTGCCCCTGCCCACGAACACCGGCATGCTCAACTTTCTGTTTTCCTATTGCTTTGCCAGAGATGCATGTGCAGACCCGGGCCTTGCAGACACTGGCACCTCTGACCCCGTCAGTCCAGAGCACCTCACCTCTGATCCCCAGCACCGGAAAGCAGCGTGGTCAGGAGGAGCTAAGCTTCGGCTGAAGCACAGGTAGGAGGCGCAGAGGTCTGCACCAAGCGGTTCAAAAAAGATGCTGGAAGAGGGAATTGGGGGCAAGCCTGGTGAGAAGGGTAAGGAGAGGCCAAGCAAGGTCAAAAGCTCAGAGTTCAGAAGGATAATATCATAATGGCAGTTTTCAAATTAGGTTCTGGAGAACCCAAAAGTGTCCCTCAAATCATATAACTCAAATATCTTTTAAAAATATATACTCACAATTGTTTTAAAACTGTAATTAAAAGCGCTCAAGCCCTGGCCAGTTTGGCTCAGCGGTTAGAGCGTCGGCCTGCAGTCCGGAGAGACCCGGGTTCGGTTCCCGCTAAGGGCACGTACTTTGGTTGCAGTTTGTCCCCGACCCTGGTTGGTCGTGCGGGTGGCAGCCACTCGATGTGTCCCTCACGTCGATGTTTCTCTCTCTCTCCTTTCCTCTCTCTCCCTCCCTCTCTATCTGTACAAAAAATGGAAAAATATCCTCGGGTGAGGATAAAAAAATTAAAAAATAAAAAATAAAAAAATAAAAGCGCTCAAAGTAATATACCAACATTTTGTACTTTGGAAATGTCAAATTATGCAGCAAGATTAATTCATCCTTGAACTGATATTCATTTAAAACTTTTCTTGTCTCTAACTGAAGAATGTCCTGAGATTACTAAATTAGAATAGAAATTTGCAGCTCCTTATCTGTGCTGCTACGTGCCAGGTGGTGAGCCAGGGCTTTGCATATCGCATCAAATTCTCACACCAGTCCTGTGAGGTTTGCACTAGGATGCTTCTAGGAAGTGGCGGATTCAAATTCAGACACTTCGATCGAGCTCTTAGCAACTACACTCTAGGGCCCCAACAATCCCTATAACAGAACCTACGTCATAGGACGACCATGGGAACTTAATGAGCACTTAGCACAGAGCCCACTCATAGGAAATGAGAACTAAATGTTAGGTAAAATAAATATTAGGTGGTATAATGTTGTGGCTATCATCCTCATCTTCATTTTCATCATTATCATGGGAGTCTGAGCCGGCATGAAAGGCAGTATAATGTAGTGAGTAAGATGTGGTCTGTGGCATCAAACGACCTAGAATTTGTATGGTGACTCTGCCACTCACTGGGTAACTGCAGGCACCTTCCTTAAGTTCTCACAGTTTCCAGTCTGTGAATGAGTTTTGTACCTCACCACAGGGCTGCCAGAAGTGCTAATCCATGTGAGCACTCACAGTGGTGCCCGGCACATGGTAGCACCCAATAGACATTACTGTTGATGTCAGTTACCCGGATTCCAGTGGGGGGGCCTTTCATGTAGATATGTGAATTTGCATTTTAAGCAAGTTAACATTGTAAATCTTGTGTTTGATCCTCATGTTTCCTTAGTCTCCTAATCTGTTATTTCCTCAGTCTTTCCTTGCCTTTCATCACCTTGACACTTTTGAAGAGTGAGGGCCAGTTATTTTGTAGAATGCCTTTTAATTTGGTTTGTGTGGTATTGTCCCATGATTAGACTGAAGTTATTCATTTTTGGCAAGAATACCACAGAGGCCTGACCAGTTTGACTCATAGGTTAGAGCGTCAACCCGCAGACCAAAGAGTCATGGTTTCGATTCTGGTCAAGGGCACGTACCTCAGATATGGTTTTATCTCCGGCCCTGGTCAGGGTTGTGTGGTAGACAATGAATTGATGTGTCTGTCTCACATCGATGCTTCTCTCTCTCTCTCTCTCTCTCCTCTCTCTCTTCTCTTCTCTTCTCTTCTCTTCTCTTCTCTTCTCTTCTCTTCTCTTCCCTCCCTTCCTCCTTCCCACTTTATCTGAAAATCAATGGAAAAATATCCTCGGTTGAGGATTAAAAAAAAGAATACCAAAGAAGTGGTATGTCCCTCTTCATGCAACCTCACAGGGATTACTTAGTGTTGATATGTTTTATTACTGGTGGTATTAACCTTGATTACTTTGTTAAGGGGAAGTCTGCCAGGTTTTTCCATTCTAAAGTAAATATTTGTCTCTTAGTAATTAATACATACCTTGGGAGAGAACTTTGAGGCTATGCAAATATCCTGTTTCTCCTCAATCTTTCTCTTATTGATTTTAATATCCATCAGAGGATATTGTCTGCAACAATTATTACTGTAATACTCTAAAGATGATTCTGTATTTCCTTCTACATTTATTCATTGGAATTCTTTCGTAAGGAAGAGCTGTCTCATTCCCCCTCTTATTTACTTATTCAACTATTTATATCAGTAAGGATTCCATCATGTATCAGTCATATTTTGTGGGTTATAATCCAGTACTACTGTTACTTACTGTATTGCTCAGATTGTCCCAGATTTGCTCACTGGGAGTGCTTTCAAGCTGGCTTTGGTCCAATCCTGGTTTGAAGTATGGAAAGGGGTATGATGCTGCTGTCTTGTTCTTCCACGTACAAAGAGCAGGCATGATGGGCTTACCATCTTCTTAGGAGTCTTACAAGTGCTCGGGCGGGAGGTTAGGAGTAGGCGTTGAGCAAGTCTAATTTGTGACTGTCACGGAGCATATACACTGACCTTGGAATTGGAAGTGCTTGAGCCACCTCCTGAGCCAATTCCAAGTCCAATGGGCCACAAGTATATATAATTCCCTTTTCATGGGGAAAAAAAAAAAAGAGCCAGAAAGTATTTCTTACTTATTTATAAGAACAAAACGAAAAACTTCCCTTCCCCCAGGTGTATACAGGAACGAGCCAAACAACCAAGTTCAAGAGAGAGAATCTTAGGCCCTGGCCAGATAGCTCAGTTGGTTAGAGCATTGACGCAAAACACCAAGGCTGCGGGTTCAATCCCCGGGCAGGACACATACAAGAAATAACTAATGAATGCGTAAACAAGTGGAACAACAAATCGATGTTTCTCTCTCTCTCTCTCTCTCAGCAATAAAACAATAATTCTTTAAGTTGTTAAAAAAACAACTTAGTGGCCCAGAACTTATTATTCTCACCGATCCAATCCCATCCTTCTCTGAATTCTCTCGTACCTAATTTAGTAGGACTCCTGTTATCTAACTTACCTTGGCCAAAACTTCTCCCTAAAAAAATCTGTTAAGCCTTAGGCGAGGGTAGTTCAGTGAGTTGGAAAGGAGACAGAATGTTCTAGCTTAAAACTCTAGATTTTCTGAGCCAGTTCTTCCCTCCATGAACTTCTCATCCCTTCCTCGCCTTCCACCACCAGTCACCACCTTACTCTGATAATGGTCTCATCTAATTATTAAGTGCTTAGCCATACATGGTGATGTTGTGTGCTCTGTAAAGTAAATCAAGATGAGTGGATAATCGAAACTCAGGTCTTGACTCCCAATTCAGTCTCAGTGAGCAGTGAGGTTGGTTCAGCTAGCACCTTGCATTTCCCTTGGCAATGAGTTCTGTCTGTGATACTGACTGAGTGTTCTCCGGACGGCGCGGCATAGGAGGCCTTGGTGGATGTCCATATAGAACCCCTGCTTCACTAGCCTCCCAAACTGTGGGAAGCTTAAAGCAATTAGCATACTTTTGCAGACAGTGGCATTTTTGCATGTGGAGGAGGGTGTGGGTTTAGCAGGGAAGATCATTCAAGGAAACTTCCTGATTTGAGTTTGATGCATTTTTATCAGCAGACGATTTTCCTTGCTCCCTCCTCTTCCTGCCCACAAAATGGAATTCTGGCATTTCTAAGCTGCATGCTGTTTTCTAAGATGCTGGTTCTTCTCAGGAAGAATTACTGGGTGTCACCTTCTCTTCTTTCCTCTTCTAGAGCAGGAATTGAACTTTAATTGGCCAGTTTACAGACGTGACTGGGAGTGAGATCCCTCCCACGGGCACAAAGCTTAGGGAGTTTGGGGCGGTCCCTGCTGCCTGGAAGGCCTGGCCGCCCTGGGAGGAGCAGGAAGAGCGGTAGCAGGGTGTAATGGCTCTTTACCCCACTCCTGAACATGACGTGCGGTTGGCCAGAGGGTTGTTATCTGGGATGTTTCTGTTTGCCACAAGGTAAGTCCACTGTTTCGTTAGAATGAGATTTAGCATCTTTCACTGCAGGGTTCTCAACTGACAAGCCTTCCACAAGTGTCTGGTTCATGTTGTGCTATATCTGTTTATAAAGAAAAATAAATAACCAACCTCATGTTAAGGTTAAGCCTGTTTCTCTAAGTTGTCATGAAACTTATTATTTGAGTATCTCATGTAAGCCAGTGTACTATTAATATTTCTGTGGGGGAATTTTCAGTCATTCTCTCTCCTATATATACTGTCATCGTATTTTTTTTTATGATGTGTGTATTTAGAGTGGCTTTTTTAAATCTTTTTATTTTTTATTTATTGATTTTACAAAGAGGAAGGGGGAGAAGAAGAGAAATCTTGATTTGTTGTTCCACTTATTTATGAATTCATTGGTTGATTCTTGTATGTGCCCTGACTGTGTATCGAACCCATAACCTTGGTGTGTCAGGATGACGTTCTAACCAATCGAGCTACCTCCTGGTCAGGGCTAGAATGGCTTTCTATCTCATTCAAATAAGCGATTGCTTTGTGTTGTGTACTCCCCGCTTTCGCTTCCCCATTTCCCTGGGGAATTTCGGAGCAATTCCGTTTCTCACAGGGAAAGCCTACTTACCTAGATAGTAGTAGCCAAGTTCTCTATTCTCATTGCCAACATTAGTGTAAAGAAATGGAAACCGTGAATTTATTCTCAGTTTTAAAAGGTCTTCTCTTGCAACTTTGAGTTTATATGAAAGGAATTGTTGATTGTGATCGCCAGTTTTACATTATTTCACTGCGTTACAATTGAAAGTTTAATTCTAGACAATCTTTTCCCTTATTTACAGTAATTTGAGTTCAGCTTTTATCCATACAATCTTGATTCAAAATATTTGTTCAGCGTTATGCTTACGGCCAATGCTTGCTTTTAAGGATGCTTTTACTGAAAAGAAAATTTAACATGGAAAAGAGCAAGTAGCTACGACAGTCATGGTGATCTAGATCTCAAGGTGACTTGAATAT